AAGCAACGTCCTCCACAACTAGACTGAAGAACAAAAGGACAGCAACTTGTCTGTTCCCCTTCCCTCAATTCCCCAATAAAAATCTTAAAAAAAAAAAAAATTATATCCACAGTAAAAAGTAAAATGCCACACCCTTTCACCCAGAGGAAACTAAACGGTTTAGTGCTTATCCTTCCAAACTAATTTTTATGCTTATTCATAAATATATACATAAACACATACACTTTTTTCTTTGCAAAAATGGGATTATGCTATAGAAATTTTACAGCTTTAAAAATTTTTGATGGTATATTGTATAGAAAGTTCCTTTTTAAAGGTCTAGATAGTACTTAAGATTGTACCGTAATACTATTTTACCTATTGACAGACGTACAGATTGCTTCCAGTTTTTTATTTCATAGACTCAAGTGCAAATATTTCCATAGGATAGCTTCACAGAAGTTTTTAGCATAATGGAAATATACATTTGTTTCTTTTTTAAGGTGTAATAACTAAGAAGGAGATGGCTTTCTTAATTTCACAATAAATTAAACCAGTTTTTTGTATTTGGGTTTTGTGTAGGTACTTTTTACTTGTGGGTTTTGGTTTTTTTTACACCTTGAAAATACTTGTTTTGATAAAATCAAGTATCATCTGATACTCATGAACATTTTATTGAATTGGGGATAATTAGATCCTATCAGTTAACAATGTGTCAGAGTTCTGAACATCTCATATCTCTAACTTCTCAGCTGATACAGGCATTTAAAGTTTATGTATTTTAGAATATATGTAGATATATAGGAACAACAGTAAGTACTTAAAAGATAAATAAGCCTTTGCTGTAGTATGGAAAGTAGACAAATGTGAAATTAATTGCAGGACTGAAAGAATGGAGAAGACCACTGAAAGCTTCTGAGTACTTTTTTAAAAAATGTTATTGGGGTGACAATGGGTAGTAAAATTACATAGGTTTCAAGTGTACAATTCTGTAATACATCATGTAAATATCACATTATGTGACCACCACCCAGAGTCAGTTCTTCTTCCGTCAACATATATTTGACCCCCTTTATCCTCTTCTACCACCCCCTCCTCCCTCCCTCTCTGGTAACCACTAAACCAGGGGTCAGCAAACCGGCTCATGAGCCACAGGCTCTGAAGTAAAATTGAAAATGAAAATAAAACCATCGTAGTTTAATTTATAAATTTTTTAGAGGATATTCACATATTGGTGATTATGTAAAAATATATTTATGGCTCTCGAATAATTTTTAAATTGTGAGGGACAGGATTGGGTCTTCCAAGGGTCCACAAACTTGAGCCGGAATTTACCCAAAGAGCCACATGTGGCTCACCAGACCCCTGCACTAAACTGTTGTGTCTATGAGTTTTTATTTCTTTGTTTGTCTTGTTAGTTTGTTGCTTTCAGTTGTGTATCCCACATAGGAGTGAAGAAGTCATATGGTTCTCTTTTTCTGTCTAACTTATTTTGCTTAGCATGATAATCTCAAGATCCATCCATGTTGTCACAAATGCCAGTATTTCATCTTTTCTTATGGCAGAATAGTATTTCATTGTGTATATATATACCACATTTTCTTTATCTAATCATCTATCGAAGGACACTTTGGTTTCCATGTCTTGGCCACTGTAAATGAAGCTGTAATGAACATCAGAGCACATACATCTTTACGGATAAATGTTTTCAGATTTTTTGGGTAGATACCCAGGAGAGGGATTTCTGGGTCATATGGTAATTCTATTCTTATTTTTTGAGGAACCTCCACACTGTTTTGCATAGCAGCTGTACCAGTCTGCATTCCCACCAACAGTGTATGAGGGTTCTTTTTCCTCCACAGCCTCTCCAACACTTGTTATTACTTGTCTTGTTGATGATAGCCATTCTAAAGGTGTGAGGTGATATCTCATTATAGTTTTATATGCATTTCCCTATTAGCTCGTGAAGTTGAGCATTTTTTCATTATCGGTCATTTGTATGTCTTCTTTGGAGAAGTGTCTGTTCATGTCATCTGCTAATTTTTTAATTGGATTGTTTTTTTCTTGTTGAGTTGTACAAGTTCTTTACATGTTTGATATTTTTATTTATTGATTAATTTTTTTTTTAAGATTTTATTGGGGAATTGGGGGAAGGGGAACAGACAAGTTACTGTCCTTTTGTTCTTCAGTCCAGTTGTGGAGGACATCGCTTCACTGGCCCATGTTGGTATTATCATTGCGCTCTTCCCAGGTGAGGCAGATTGGTCGCCAGCCACTGGACACAGCTCACAGCAGCTATGGGCAGCTCATGCTGGCTGCCAGCAGCCCACTGCAGCTTCACTGCAGCCTACGCCGTCGCTGGCGACTCACGGCAGCCCAGCTCCAGGTCAAGCTATTGTTCGTCTTAGCTGTAGAGGGCACAGTATCACTGGCCCTTCATGTGGGATCCGAACCAGGGCCCTGCTGCTCAGAGCTGGAGTCCTAAGCCAACTCCTAACCAACGTTGGCGCCACTCGGCCGGCCCTATGTGTTTTAGATATTAGCTGCTTATCAGAGGTGTTTGCAAGTATCTGCTCCTGTTCTGTTGGTTCCCTCTTTGTTTTGTCAATGGTTTCTTTTGCTGTGCAGAAAATTTTTCGTTTGATATAGTCCCATTCATTTATTTTAGCTTTTACTTCCCTTGCCTTTGAGGTCAAATTAATAAAATCCTCTTTGAACCCAAGGTCAATAAGTTTAGTACCTTTGCTTTCTTCTATGAAGTTTATGGCTTCAGCTCTTTGATGCTTCTGAGTACTTTCAGTGGTAGTTTTCACAAGCATATTTGCCCACAAAATTCATCCTTTATCTATGTGATATCATTAATAATGACTTTATTGAAGAAACTAAAAAGTAAGCCATTTTTTCTAAAAAGGGTTATATAATCCCAGTCACTCTCTTCCTCAACTAAAGAAATCCCCTAAACCATTTTGTACTAGAGAGCAAAATGTGCATTTTAAGAAGACCATCAGAAATTGCCACCGTTGTCATAAAATACTAATGTTGCAATAAAGGATCCTCAAGGTAATTCCTAGATGAGGTACTGGCCAAGGAACTGTTTTCCTTCCTGTAGGAACAAGAATTAGTAAATTGTGGCTATTGCCCTTAAAATATTTCACAGAGGGAGAACAATGTGTAGATCCCCTGATCTAGTTTTTGTTGTTGTTTTCCAAATAAATTATGTATAGTGTGTGTGTGTGTGTGATTTCACCTAAAATAAGTTTCTTGTGGTTAGCCATGGGAAGCTGTCTTGGATCCCTCTTCTCCATAGTTATAAAAAAGTGTTTGAACTGCTTCTCTCCCCATTTATTGATTCCAAATCCTGCAGATTCCTCCCCAAGACTCTGTAGTAGGTCTCAGGCACCCTTCCCCTAGGTCCTCCAAGTCACAATTTGGCTTCAGGACATCAGGATACTAAGTCACCTGTCCCTATTTCTCACTGAGTCCAAGGCCCAAGCACCATTTATACATCACCCTGATGTCCTGAGTTCCGTCCCATTATCTCACAGATACATTTCTTTAGTGCAGAAAAGAAGGCATCTCTAACTTTGGGCGATTTTCGAGAAGCCTTAAAAACATTGACACTATAACAAACATGGAGGTAATTGTTAGTAGTAACTTATTTAGCCTCATAATTTCCAGTTTCTAAGGCTGTATTAATGCTGCAGTTTCAGTAGCTGAGACTGACCTGCTGTTTAGCTGCTGCTGCCCTTATCCCCCTTATGTTGCTTGCTCTTACTTCAGAGACTTGGGGTCATACCTCCTGAAACTTAATATGTTCTGCACTCATTGCTCTGGGGCCTTAGCTTCTTCACCTGTACACCGCTTCAGAGGGTTGGGTTGGAATCAACTCAGCTTCCTCTCGTTCAAACTGTGCTGCCCTCAGGTAGAAAATAGCTTTTGGGTGCCTGTTATATTCAGTAGCAGTGAGAACCTTTCAAATAAAAATAGTTTTCTCCTGATACCACCCTCCCTGTGCACACACACACACACACACACACACTTGTGAAAGGAGAGGAAAGCTCTTGTGACCTGGCCCAGGAAATGGAAGGCATTACTCTGATGTTAGTGATGTCCCCAGGAGGAAACATACCCGTACTACATGTAAATGCCAAATAGGATTTTTCTCACTGTTGCTTCCTCGTCATCAGTGTGGGATTATAAATTCTGGGGGAACTCACTGATAAGGGAAAGGCAGATAAAATCCAGGTCTAATACTTGATGATAAGTATTAGGCACATATGCTCCTATGGGAATGTGAGGGAGATTTTTCCAAGGAGATGATAACATCTGCTTCTGGGTATTTATCTGAAGAAAGCAAAAACACTAATTTGAAAAGATGTGCACCCCTATGTTCATTGCAGTGTTATTTACAATAGCCAAGATATGGAAGCCACCTGGATATCCATCAATAGATGATTGGATGAAGATCTGGTGTGTGTGTATACACACACACACATACAATGAATATTACACAGCAGTAAAAGAATTAAATCTTGCTGTTTGTTGGACCTTGAGGATATTATGCTAAATGAAATGTCAGACAAAGACAAATATCATATGATTTCACTTATATCTGGAATCTAATAAATGAACAAACAAAACAAACAAAAAAACAGATTCATAGAAACAGACCAAAGGTATGGTTGCCAGAAGCGAGGGGGGAACATAGTCAATAATATCGTGATAAGTTTGCACAGGGACATGATTACTAGAATTAGTAGGTGATCACATTATAAGGTATAAAAATGTCAAATCACTGTATTGTACACCTGAAACTAATATAACTAATATAGTTAACTTTACAAAAACTTAAATTTTACAAAAGTCAAAAATATTGAGAATACAATACTGGTATGGAAATAAAAAGATTATGAGCTTATGCAAGCGAGAGAAATAATTGTTGGTTGTGCTCCATTTTGAAATCAGTAACTGGCCTTATTAGGATAATGATGTGTCATTATTCAATAGCATGTCTAGGTCAGGTTCTTTGATGTCAGAAACTGTCTAGCCCAGGGGTCAGCAAACTGCAGCTTGCGAGCCACATGCGGCTCTTTGGGTACGTTCCGGCTCAAAACTTTGCTGACCCCTGGAAGAGCCGATCCTGTCCCTCACAACAATTTAAAAATTATTCAGGAGCCATAAATATATTTTTACGTAATCACCATTATGTGAATAATATCCTTTAAAAATTTTATAAATGAAACTATGATAGTTTTATTTTCATTTTCAGTTTTATTTCAGAGCCACATGTATGTGCCCAAAGAGCCGCATGTGGCTCTTGAGCCGCAGTTTGCTGACCCTTGGCGGCTCTTCCATCTCAAAAAGTTTGCTGACCCCTAGTCTAGCCCAAATGAGCTTAATTTTAGTGTCTCCTGAGTTCCATTGTGCCTTATGGTACACAAGCCTGGTTAAAGATAAAGTCGTGAGATAGGAAGCCTCTGATTTCTACAGGGACAGAGACTGGTGTTAGTCTCGAAGGCAAAAGTCAACATTTGGAAGCTGACTTTTGAAGGACTATTTTCAACTGACATTTATGCTTCTCACAAATAGAGTTTGAAACAGCTGAGACCCTTCTAAATTCAGAAGTTCATATGCTACTGGAGCATCGAAAGCAACAAAACGAGAGTGCTGAGGATGAACAGGAACTTTCGGAGGTCTTCATGAAAACTTTAAACTACACAGCCCGTTTCAGTCGCTTCAAAAACAGAGAGACCATCGCCAGTGTCCGCAGGTGAGCACTAAAAGAAAGTTTTATGAATCCAAACTGTTGGCCATCTACAGGTAGAATGCTGTTTCCTCCCCCCTGCATCATCTGTAGGATTCATGGATGTAAAATAATTTCATTGTCAAAAATATAAAAATTGGGCCGGCCGAGTGGCACATTGGTTAAGAGTTGGCTTGGGATGCCAGCTCTGAGCAGCAGGGTCCCGGTTCGGATCCCACATAGAGAGCCAGTGACACTGTGCCCTCTATAGCTAAGATGGTGAGCAACAGCTCAACCTGGACCTGGGCTGCCGTGAGTTGCCGGTGACGGAATAGGCTGCCGTGGGGCTGTTTGGCAGCTGTCATGAGCCACCATGAGCAGCCGTCCAAAGCCCAGCGAGCAACTTCCTCACCCGGGAAGAGTGCAATAATCATACCAACATGGGTCAGTGAAGTGACGTCCTCCACAACTAGACTGAAGAACAAAAGGACAGCAACTTGTCTTTCCCCTTTCCCGATTCCCCAATAAAAAAAACCTAAAAAAAATTTTTTTTAATTGCTAAAAAGGCCAAATTCCTCTTTGGCCACCTTCTCCCATACCCCAAATCCCAGTTATCTTCCTGCACAGTAATTACTGTTGGCAATTTGTTGTTCTCCTTTTTGATCGTTTCCTATGCATTCACTTATTTGTATATATGGCTGTAAAAAAGACATTACATTGTTTTTGTGGGGTGGTTTTCTTTTTAAAAATAAAATGGGCTTATTTATTTACTATTCACTATTAAATATCTTAGAGCTCTTTATACATTAATAGATATCAATGAGGAGCCTTCTCTCTAGATCTTTGCTTTACCTTTCAAAATCAAAAAGGGGCCAGCTTTGAGCATTTTTTCCTAAGACACTGCTTCTCAAATTGGGTTGGATGTTCCCTGGGAAGCAGTGATGCACTGGGGCATACAGGATGCCACAGGGGACCACACATCTTCCTGAGTATCAGTTCTACTTGATGGTAGGTGATTTAACCCTCCTTCAGGCGCAGATGATCTTACAGATCCATTGCATACAAATTTTCAAATATCTAACAGTTAACAAGTATCGTGACTCATCGCTTCCATATCTTCCCCCTCTACTGTAACCTATCGCCAGTCGAGTTTGTGACTTAGTACAGTAAAGTCATATTTCATAGCAGCATCGTTGTGTGCAATGAATCTGTGAGATCAGTTGCACCTGATGGAGGATTAAGACTTTACTACATTAAAGCAAACAGATACCAGCGTATTGTAGAATAAAACAAAAAACATGTGAGTTCTTGAATTAAACGGTCAGACGAAATCTTGCAGTTGCAGAAAGTCACTTGAGCCTGTGCCCCCAGGTCACCTAGGGGTGCTTGTTAGCCCTACTCTGGTGAAAATGTTTGAGAAGTACTGTCCTAAGGAAGAGCAGACGGACAACAGATGTATATACATAGATATTCTTCAGAGAGCTGTTTATAAGAGCCAAAGATAAAAAAAGCAACCTAAACATTCAACAGTAATTAAATACATAGTGGTAGATCCATTTGATGGGCTGCTAAGCATCATTAAAACCTGTGATAGAAAATGAAATTGAAAGATACTCATATGTTAGGTGTGCAGAAAACGAAGATGGTAAACTGTGCATGAAGTATAGTCCGCTTTGACAAGTGTGGATGTTTGCATGGAGAAAAGAGTAGAAGGAACTGTGCGGAGCTTCCATGCGAGACCACAAACTGTTGGGCCTAAACAGTGACTTGAGTAAATGAAGGTGCACTTACAATTCATGAATGAAATGTCTTTATATTATAAAAATGTCAGTTTGCCCCAAATTAATGTATACAGTTAGTGCCATTCTAAATCCTCAAGGGAATGGGCAGGGGAGTTGAATAAAATGATCTTCAATTTGTAAGGATTGTCGGAAAATTTTTTTGAAAAGAAAAATGAAGGGGAACTTGTCCTACAAGATGTTAAAATACATTAAAAATGACAGCAATTAAAATAAAAATAGTGACACTTTGTCATGACAATAGATATCATTGGAACAGAATAGAAAATTCAGGAACAGATTCAAATATAAATTTATTGTATTTTACATGAGTCCAACAGACAGTAAAGATGGCAGTGTAAGTTAGTGGGGAAATACTTTAAAAAAGTTTGAACTCTATACATTATACCAAAATAAATTTCTAAGAAATTCAGGATTTAAATGTAAGCTAAGATGCATAAAAGTGCTGTGTAATAGCACGAGTGAATGTATATATTGTCTGGGCCATGTTTATTAGTACTTTAAATGTGGAGAGACTTGATTAGTTGAATGTAAGCTTTGTGAAGGCAGGGACTTGGTCATATTCATCACTGTCAGTCTCATTGTGGGTACTAAGTAATTATTGGGTTGTCAGAAAAGTCATGAGGTATTTTTTCTATGTTTTTCATTGCAAAAATGCATCATGACTTTTCTGACAACCCAGTAGTTGAAAAAGTAAATTTGCATAAATATTTTTAATTGCCCTATATCAAGTAAAATGCCGTATGTAAAATGTAAGTATGAAAAGCTGGGAAAGCTAAATAACACCCAGTTTATGGCTCAATTTATATCAGAACTTCAAATGGCTGTGTAATTCACATGAAATAATGTTCATCTTCAAGGAAATCAAATAAATGGTAAAATAACTAAGTAGATTTTAAAAGATTAAAAAGAATGGGAACCATAGTGTAATAAGTAGGGGGAGTGGGCACTGTCATGTATTGCTGGTGGAAGTATATATCGATAAAGCCATTTTAGGGCTGTGTCTCAGAAGCCTTCCAAACAGTCTCTCCTTTGAATAATTCTACTTCCAGGAATTTATTTTTAAAATACACAGTAATTGGGCCGACCGAGTGGTGCATTGCTTAGGAGTTGGCTTGGGACGTCAGCTCTGAGCAGCAGGGCCCCGGTTCGGATTCCACATGAGGGCCAGTGATACTGCCCTCTACAGCTAAGATAGTGAACAACAGCTCGACCTGGAGCTGGGCTGCCGTGAGTCACCAGCGATGGCGTAGGCTGCAGTGGGGCTGACTGGCAGCAGGCGTGCGCTTTTGCGAGCTGTCATGAGCCACTGTGAGCGGCTGTCCAATGGCCAGCGAGTGACTGCTTCACCCGGGAAGAGCGCAATGATAAATACCAACATGGGCCAGTGAAGTGACATCTTCCACGGCTAGACTGAAGAACAAAAGGACAGCAACTTGTCTGTTTCCCTTCCCCGATTCCCCAATGCTGTTCCCCTCCCCCAATTCCCTAATAAAATCTTAAGGAATAAAGAACCACAGTAATTGATCAAGTGCACAGAGAAGTGTGCATTTAGACAGTGATGTTCAAAAAGCATTATTTAAAGTGGTGAATAATTCAAAATAACAAATGTTCGACAATAGGAAGTCTGATGTATAACTTATGGCACAAACTTTCAGTGGAATGGGCTGCTGTGTGTACTAACTTGGAAAACAGCTACCATATTGTGGAGTGAATAAAGGCTAGTTAGAGAATAACATCTGTTATGGTTCCCTTTGTTTTAAAAATGTTACAGAAAGGAAGAGAAGGGGATCTCCTTGAAAATGTTAATACTGGTTATTTCTGGTTAGGATTTCAGGTTATTTTCACCTTATTGATACTTTTTTGGTATTATTTGTAAATGAGGATGTATTCATTTTACAACAGATCCCTCCACATACATGTTACATTATGAACCTCTTCCCATATAACTAAGCTTACTGTATTTTCTTTACAAAATGAAAATACTCGTACTTTTTAACAAAGAGTTAACAAAAAAGAATAGGTGAGTTTATATTCTAAAGCATAGAAAAAATATTTGGAATGGTATACTAAGATGGTAATGTTGATTTTGTTTAGGTGTCACTATGGGTAGCTTTCATTTTTTGTCTTTCTGTATTTTCTAAATTTTGTACATTAATATGCTTGTAATGGAGTGATAAGCACAGCAAGTGTTGTTTCTGAACAGATAATTAAGGTCCTCTCTGAAAACACGTTTATCATGAATGAGCTCTATTTTAAGAGATAGAGGAATGAAAATCCAAGATACGATTTGTATTGACAGTGTTCTTTTATACAGTCTGAACTAGAAGTACATTTAAAATAAGATGCAGGTTATACATGTATTTGTACCAAGTAAGATATGCCTATATTTATTTATTTTGATAAATTTAAAAGAATTTCCTCCAAGTCAATTACCTAATAGATTAGGGACATCTAACATCATGTGTATGACATAAAATTACTAACAAGGGAAGCAAGGAAGAGTTGTAGGAAGAGTAGAGAACAATAAAATAAATTCCTAGGGGAAAACTGTGTAGTCCTTGAGGCATGGGTTTCCTAAAAGTCGCAGTAGCAGGAGTTTTCTGCCTGAACTGCCCTCCTACATAGGAGTTTCATTGTGCGCCTGGTGTTGTGGTAACTTCCTGTTCTCCAGTGAGTTTGGAAGAGGGATTTGTTAGCACCCTGACCATAAGGGAAAGATTACAGGTGCTTTACTTTTTATCTTCCTTGCTGCATTTGATCCCCTTTTTCCTATTCATAATTTTTTGATGTTTTATTTTGATTTTCTTCCCCATGCTCAGCTTGTTGCTTCAGAAGAAGCTTCATAAGTTTGAGTTGGCCTGTTTGGCCAACCTTTGTCCAGAGACTGCTGAGGAGTCCAAGGCTCTGATCCCAAGGTTAGTACCGGGTAGAAGTTCTACGTGTATTAGATATATTCTTACAAGTAAAATTACTGTGTCTAGAAGATGTGTGCAGTTAAAATCTGGGTGGATACCAACATGGAAGAAGAGTGCCTTTTTTTTAAGTGTGAGAACGAAGGTTTTATAGCATACCAGCTGATAGCAAAAGTGTGGAACAGCTGAAACTCTAACACACTGATGGTAGGGTGCAGATTAGGAGAGCAATTTGGCTACATCTGGTAAAATTAAAGATACATATACCCCACAACCCAAAACTCCATTCCTGGATACATGCTGAGAACTACTTAGAGTTTCGAAGAAAACACATGTTCCAATATTCACTGCCACATTGTTAGTGATAGCAGAAACTGACAGCAGTCTGTCAGTCAACAGGAGACTGGATAAATGAATCATTATATGATCATACAGTGTTGATTATATAGCAGTGAAGAAACTAATGAATTAGGTCAACATGGAATAATGTCAACAAATGCCAAAATGAATTGTGAGTGGAAAAATTGCTGAAAGATATATACAGTATGATGCCATATCTTATAAAGTTTAAAGACATTGCTACATATTGCTTATAGATACACAAGAGTAAGTATAAAAATACGTATAGGAATTATAAATACCAAATTTAAATAGTGGTTAGTTGTGGAGAAGGAGGAGAAGGTACTGGATGGGAAGTATACACAGGCATCAGTTTGTTCCTGTTGTGTTTACTAAAGAAATCTGAGTCAAGTAGGTATAACTGTTAACTTATTTTCTGTACCTTTTAGATGTTTAAAATACTTCATAACGTTTTAAAAGGAAAGGCAGGAAAGAAATACAGTTGAAAGATAGCAGTGTCTGTTTAGGATTAACTGGGGAGGTGAGCACATGCTGCTCAGATATTAGCGTGCATAAAGGAGCTGTGTGGGGAACGTGTCATTCGCTAAGGCCCTTGTTTCCTTTGGTTTCTTCGTGTAGTCTGGAGGGACGGTTTGAAGATGAGGAGTTACAGCAGATTCTTGATGATATCCAGACCAAGCGCAGCTTTCAATATTAATCTCCAGGCATCACTCTACTGCCGAGGGAACCACATCCCCAGCACAGAGCCACTGTCGCCCAGGATCGGGGCTGACTTGCACAGAAATTCTGCCATCACAGAAGACACTTGGGCTTCTTAAGCCACACTGCTGACTACCTCATACTATGGTTTTGGGCCCCTGTTATTTTTTATTCCTAATATTTCATGTTTTAATGTCAATGTGTTTATAGTTTTTGAAACTATACTAGAACATATAAAACTGGTATGGGGAACCAATTTTATTTAAATGGAAGACTTAAACCAGACCCGTATCATTGTTTGAAATTCTTCCCACCCTCCCACTCACTCACCCCACCCCGCACCTCAGAGTTGAGCCGTCGTTCTCAGTCTAGTTGTGGAAGACTCAGCTCAGTGGCCCGTGTTGGTACCATGAGCATTGCACTCTACCCGGCTGATCCAATCGGTCGCTGGCCATCTGCCAGCCATTAACGGCAGCCCAGCTCCAGGTCAAGCTGTTGTTCACAATCTTAGCTGTAGAGGGCGCAGCTTACTGGCCCATGTGGGAATTAAACCGGAAACCTTGTTCAGAGCTCACGCTCTAACCAACTGAGCTATCTGGCAACCCCTGAAATGCTTTAAAAAGGGGTGATAGTGTTAATAACAGAGGGCCTCGGCATCTTGTGCTTAACCCAGGAGACAGAAGTAACTCACCATGGAGTGCAGTCACAGCTGAGGGTAACTGCTAAGTATTGGGGGGGGGGCTCATGGGCTTTGGTAGACAGGGTCTTTGCCTGTTTTCTTGGACTGTCACAGAATGTAGATTTGGAGTAAGTGTTCCTAAAATACTTATTCTGTCACTCCCTAGTTAAGATTTTTTCCTTTGTATGCCAGATGTCAAGGTGTGAACACATCGAAGTCTCCCTATATGTGGCGTCCTGTCCCAACCTCTGCCTTGCTGCTTGGCAGCAGGTGTTCTGTGGTGGAGGTGATTTGGAAGGAGGGGACCTGCCCCTTCCTGAGTCACTGCAGTGAAGTCACTCAAGCTGAGGCGAGTTCGGGAAACATATTAACCACTGAACTTTTTAGCTTTGTGTTTTCTGAAGGGAAGTATGCCTGTTTTGTTTACAATTTGGGAATTTTTCTTTGGAGCTCTTGTTGGCTGCAAATGAATTCATGATCCACAGAATGTGTTGAGGGAAGAACAAAGTTGACTTTAAAAATCAAGATAGGGGGCCGGCTGAGTGGCTCAGTTGGTTAAGAGCTCGCTCAGGAGTTTGAGCTCTGAGCAACAGCGGTTCGAGTTCCAGCCTGAGCTGAGCAGCCGCTGAGCTGCCAACAGGTGGCGGGATGGCTCAGCTAAAAAAAAAAAAAAAATAGTTTTATGTCAGCTGCTGGCTAAGGCAAAAATATTGTTTTTACAAATTCTGTCAATTTCTGAAATGACATGGTTTCTAAGTCACTAGTCTTATTAATCAGTATTTAAAAGAAATGACAATTATTTCCTTCAAAAAGTTGAAGGAAATAATCTTTCCCCCCGGATAACTTCACTTCTTTGAGACTCATCCGTGTTCTCAGTTGTGAAATGTGGATAATGATAGTATCTATTCTATAGATATTTTGAGAAGGTTGAATGAGAAAATTATTAACAGCCTACTGGTGTCTGACATACATTATGTCCCAATAAATGTTAGCTGTTATTATGCTTAGTAGATGAGCAAGTATACATAGGTGATAATCAGCTTGCTTCACAGAAATTAGTGTAAGAACTTGGTAGCATATTGACTGGTACTGGTATGAGATTATGAAAACAAACCAAATCGCTTCCTCCTTAAGTCTGCGAATTATCTTTTAAGAGAGGCATTTACAGGTGCAGTTGGCACCAAGCAGCAGATAGAAAGAACAGACCTGGAAGATCGACCTCAGTTACAGTCCAGGAGTTCGTGAGCTGTATGAGAATATGAAAGTGTGTAAAGTGCCTCAGTATGGCTAGGCACTAACAAGTGGTAGTTAAGATGATTAGGAACAGGTTTTACAAAAATAACAACTCCTGGGGAATTACTTGTAAAAATAATCTCATGCTATGTTCTAGACAGCCTAGAGAATGCATTCTGCTGGACATTGTTCTCTACAGCCTTGGACAGCAGCTCCCTGTTTAGTCATCAGGAGACCCTGCAAATCCTTTAATAATCTCTGAAATATTTGTTAGGCTTACTGTGCTATGTTTGCAACAGCAGAATTGGGGGACACATTGAAACTAAATAAAAAGAGACCATTTTGTCAAAACCCTCACTTCATCAGAAAACTAAATTAACCAGAAAACCCTTTTTTTTTTTTTTTTTACAAAACAACAAATCCACTTTATTTACTTTTCAATAAGTTTAAATCCTTGAGGGGTACAGATTACACGGATTCTGTGTCCAATCGCCTTAGCAGGAAGGGTGCTTTGGAGCTTGGCAAGAACCATGCCAGGTTACTCTGGCTTTGCCTGGTTTGCCACCAGGGGTCACTATGTTGTAAGCACACCTCTTGCCTAGGTAGAATTCAGTTTCATCTCGAGCATAAACACCTTCAGTTTTAAGAAGAGCTGTTTCCGGAGACCCTTGCTTATAGCCAGCAAAAATGGCCTGGGACCACAGCCTTCCAGACATTTGTCATTTTAGAAGTTTTGCCCAGCAGGCCTCCACAGGCCCGAAGATGGCAGGAAAAGGAAGGCCTAGAGATCCTTTCCTGAAAGTTCTAGTCATGGTCTTATTGAAATTTAATGAACTTGAGGCTTGAAAAATAGCATTACTGGATGGGGCCTGAGCACGAGCCATTTTTAAAAAACATTGTTTTAAGCTTATTTATAAAACCATCGAAACCTGTATAAAGACTTGAATGTAAATAAGGCAGCATTATTCCTAATAGCCACAAACAATCCAAATGGCCCACAAACTGGTGAGTAAAGAAACAAAATGTGATGGGCCGGCCCAGTGGCGCATTGGTTGGGAGCTGGCTTGGGACACCGGCTCTGAGCGGCGGAGCCTGGGTTCGGATCCCACGTGAGGGTTGGTGACACTGACCTCTGAAGCTGGGATGGTGTGTGGCAGCTCGACCTGGAGCTGGGCTGCTGTGAGTCGCCAGCGATGGCGTAGGCTGCAGAAGCTACCGTGTGGCTGGCGGCCAGCATGGGCGGCCAGCAGCCGCTGTGAGCTGCCAAGAACCGCTGTGAGCGGCTGTCCAGGGGCTGGCAGGCGATCTGCCTCACCCGGGAAGAGCGCAATGATGGTGCCAACATGGGCCAGTGGGGTGGCGTCCTCCGCAGCTGGACTGAAGAACAAGGGGAACAGCAACTTCTCTGTTCCCCTTCCCCCATTCCCCAGCGCAGTTCCCCTCCCCCAATTCCCCAATAAAATCTTTTAAAAAAAAGTGATATTCATACAGTAGAATACTATTTACTAGTAATAAACTAAAAAGGAACGAACTAAAACAAAATGCTGAAGCCCACAGGATATGCCAGTGGTGTGACATTTTTTTCAACTTTTATTATGGAAAAATTTAAACATGCAGAAAAATTGAAAGCCTAGCATACTGATCACCTGTATGTTCATCACCTACCTTTAATAGATAACACTTGTAATATTTGCTTTATCTGTTTTTCTAGGAAGCATTTGAGTGCAGACAGCATGGCACTTCATTGAAATACTTACACATGCATTTTAAAACACTTCCTTCTGCAGACACTATTGGACTTAGGAATGTTGGGAAGAATTTCCTGATACTTAATATTTAGTTCATATTCAAATTGCTCCTGGGGAGAGTTCTGGGCCAAAGGTCAGCCCTCCTGTTGGTATAATTTAGTATTATAGAAAAGTTACCACTAAGGACCTAAATTGACACTTGTGAAAAGCATTGAAGAAATGAACGTGGTTACTGCCTTCAGGTTGCTGTAAGGAACTCTGACTGGACAGAAATACCTGTATGGGACCCCAAGATGAAAAACGGACCTCTATAAATTGCAGGACCAAAGTAGAGCTTGGTCAGCAGTGGGTCTGCATGTGGCTTTCCAGCTCGTCACTGTCAGTGGCAGGTGGGTAAATGGTGACAGCACAGTGAAGGCAGGCCTGCTACTACTACCAGACGTGGAGTAACATTCAGACTTGTCATGTGTGCCTCGTTTCCCTTTGCATGGCACCTAGCAAGTACTTACTAGTAAATGTTGAGTTAAAACAGCCTCCATGTTCAGAAGGGTCAGTGTGGAGCTGCAGGGAGAGCAAGAATGTACCTGAAATAATAAAATTGAAGGAGAGGGCTCAATGAGATAGGGTTGAGGTCTGGGGTGGGGGTGGTGGGGGGACAGCCCAGGAAGAACCTGGGGATTCTGAAAGACAAGACAAGCTGTCCAACAGCATTTCATGTAGGGAGAAATACTCTCCATCCAGTATGGCAGCTGCTCTCTGCATGTAGCTACTGAGTGCTTGAGGCTGGTATGACTGGAACTGAATTTTAATCTTTATTCATTTTAATTACATATTTTAAATAGTCACATATACCTAGTGGCTACTGTATTGGACAGCACAGCTCTTAGCTACCAAGAGTAATGTCCTGCAGGCCATTGAAATCGAAGAGGACGTCAGCAAGATTAACAATGTTCACAGAGCAGCAGTAATAACGCTAATAAATGTAAGCTTTATCACTTTTCAAGGATTCCAGTATTCCTATTTTGTAATTCTAGTGAATGTGGTCCAGGCACAGGATTTTTCCAGATTCATAGGCTGATATCCTTTCAAACCTTTATATATCCTGAGCACATCAGCACCAGCCTGTGGCCATGCATGACCCCAACACACCTGTTCATGGGGATCCTAACAGTTCTCCAGGTTCATACCTGAAAAACATTTCTAAACTTAGTGATGGAAGAAGTAAAAAAGATGGAATGACATGATTACACAAAAATTAAGAACTGTAAAATCACTAAAAGTGATAAAAGTTATAGTGGAGAACACAGGCAAAGGGTGAAGATGCTTATAAAGAACGTTTATAAATAAAATATTAAGACCCCCCATTTCTAAAAAGTCAAAGGACATAGATATAAATTACATCCAATTACCAGATTAATGGGTAAATGAACTTAGTTTTCAGAGATTTAAAATGAGGTGGTAATTTTTCCTATAAAAATGGAGAATATTCTATGAGTGTATTGCCGTTTAATGAGGGATTTCTTTGTGTCAGGTGCTGTTCTATACACACAATACAGAAATAGGATGCGACCTCTCAGTGTAGCCTCACTGGGACAAATAAAAGAAAATGTGCTTCCTGTTCATGC